ACCGGGTCCATGCACTGTCTAAATTCCAAAGTGTTTAATATGCAATTCAAGGAGACTCTACCACCATCATCATCTTCTTCATCGTCATCACCACCATCATCATCACCATCATCATCATACTCATGTCTGACATTCACTGGATTCTTTCCAGGTGCCAAGCACTGTGCTAATTGTTTTGCACACACTATTGTCAATCAGTTAATGATTGTTAGTCCCACAGTGCCAGGAGGTTAGTTACCAGAAATACGAAGAGTTTCTATTATGAAACGTGTATTATGGTTGCTAGGCAAATGGAAAATGTGGAAAAAATTCTAAAATGCTAGGAGACGGTCTCTATCAGTGGATCTTCATACTTGGGGATGCTGTGGTTGGTTTGCTTGATGTTCCAGGGAAATGCTGTCTCAATAAATTCCGACTAGGTCATTTTCTTAGTGCAGGTGAATGGGAAAGGCTCCTGCCTGCAGAAATCTTTTTGGAGAAACCCAAGGACAAATCTTGCCTTTTAAATTCTCTGGTTGAGAGAATTGTTGGTTCTGAGGGGAGCTTTTGGCAGTCAGTGGCCTCGCTGTGCTAGGATAATTTGGATGCAGTATCAAATAAAGCAATCAGAAAGAAAATTCCTCTGAAACTCTCACTGGTATTTAATATTTTATTCACTCCCATGTTATTGTGCTTTGCCTGCGGTGAAACAGCCTCAAAACAGCCTCCTAGGAGTGAGGCATTAGGAAGCTGACAAGCGTTTTCCCATGAATTGCTACTACAATACAATGGCATTTTGTTTGCTGTTTTGTTTCCTTGTCTTCTAACATTCTTTCTGACTTTCAAGGAAAAAAAGAAGAAGAAAAAGAAACCTTCCTATGAATGGCAAAGAAAAGGAAAGAAAAGTTTCTTTTAAACTTTCAACCTTTTTCATTTGGTACTGGGTAGCATGTAAACATTTTTTTTTTTCTCATGGTATATATGCCCGTAGTTTCTTCCCTTTGTGTGTGTGTGTGTGTGTGTGTGTGCGCGCGCGCTTTAAATGGCTTTTTTCTTTCTTTCTTTTACCACAGCATTGCCTTTCCATTATTGATTCAGAAAATCGGCAGGGAAAAAAAAAAATCAACCGTGTACACATATTAAGAAAGGGAAGTCAGAGGAAGATGGATCAAACCATCCATCTATCCATGCGGTCATTTATCTATCAATCTATCTCTGCTACCCACCCGCCTCTATTAAAATAAATAGCAGGCACTGTACACATTGCTGGTTGGCTGAAGTTGTGATCTGGACAAAAGGTCTGTTTGGGAAAAGGATGCTGAAGCTCTAATTCTATTTGTGCCGGTTGAAAATCAGGAGGGGTTTTTCTACACTTCACTTTTATTAGATTATTTCTTATAGATGGTTTCTTTTTTCCTCCCAGACGCGTGGTGGAGGCTGCTGAAGCAGTTGGTCTATAGTTGGAATAATTAAATTAACCATTTGGTACAACTTTTAGGGGAGAGCTCGCGTGTAGAAAGCACAACTCTAACAAAACAGGGCGCTGGGGCTGGGGCTCCGGCCTGGCCCAGCCCCGCAAGCCTTTCATCTTCGGAGCAGAAGCAGGACCCCGGGCCACAAAAGACCCACAGAGGGAACGACGGGCCAGGGACGGTGGGGGTGGGGTGGGGTGGGAAGAGGGACGGTGACACTGAACAAAATAAACCTACAAGGCCTACAAAGGGGAAAATGAAGTCAAGCAAGCGCATTTGCTCATCGGACCGTGCGGTCCCGGCGCTGAAAGGTCCCCTGGTACAAAGAGAAGGAGGCGCACAGCACCCCGCCCGGGCGAGGCCGGGCAGCAGAGGGCGCCTGGAGAGAGGCCTGGGCTGACCGGGGCACCGGGGAGAGCCCGGGGCTGTGGGGCGGGGGAGGCGGGGAGGGAGGCGGGTGGGCGCCCCGGAGCGCAGGGCTGGGAAAAACCCAGCCCGGGGCCGCGGGGAGCGCGGGGCGGTGCCCAACTCCGGCCGAGGCTGGGCCTGCCGCTCACACCCCATCCCGCCCCGGCACCCCCCAGTGGCCTCGCACTTCCCTCGCCGGGGCGCCTTGGGCCCCGCTCCCCTGGCTTCTCCCGGTGTCACCCTCGGAAGCCCCCAGATCCAGCTCCCCAGAGCGGCACACAGCACCCCCACGCCAACAGCTCCTGCGCACAGAGGCTGTCCTCCTGCACCGACTAAATCCCTAAGTTCTACATCGTCATTCAAGAGCCACCACCCTCAGTAGCTGTTGACAGAAACCCTGCTCCTCCGAGCTCCCCTCACACTCTGGGGTCGGGGCCGCCTCCGCCCCAAGGGCTATAGGGGCCTCCGGGGACTGTCCGCAGATTGGGATGCAAGGTGTAATTGCCGCGCACTCCGGGCGGGCGTAGGGCCCGGGCCCCGGGCGCAGACCCCGTGACACCGGTCGGGGATGGAGCTTCTTGGGCAGAGAGCGCGCGCTGTACACCCGGCGGAGACACAAGCCCCGGTGCACCGAGGCACGGGCGCCAAGAGAGGTGTAAGCCCGGCATTTGCCAAGCCAAGGGCCTTGAAGCCAAAACGCGTCCCCTCCCAGACACTGTGTCACACTTCTGCAGAGAAACGGCTGAAACTCCATGTGAGCGGGAGGGGCAGGCTAGCCGGGCGCCACCCAGGCCAGGGCTCCCTGCATCCACACCCCATGAATGCGGGCCCGGGGCAGCAGGGTCGCGTTCGGAAAACCAGGAGGCACGCCCACAAAAGTTCGAGGGATTCGAGAAACCTGGACAATCTATCCTCCACCTCCCTTAAGGGCGGGGGGAGGGTGGTGGTGTAAATAAGGGTGGGGAAATTCCATGTGTAGCGTCCGAAGGGGCACAGCCACCTCCCGATCTAAATGCAGATTCATATTCATGAGAACGGGATAAAGACAAATCCCCACTGTAATAACACTTGGATTCCCATCCGTCTTTGCTGGCCTTTAGGTTTAGGGGACCGAAGACGGATGTTTGCATCTCTTTTCTCCTCTTGTCTGGTGACCATAAAGAAAAACCATTTAGAGCGTTGCAATTTGTTTCTCGCCGGAGTACAACCTTGTACACATTTATTTTCATTTCACCCCCGTGCACAAAAAAGTGCACACTGGTCACCAAGGGCCCTTCTTTATCAAATACGCATCGTACAACATACAACTGCAATAAAACTATCAGCCCTCCCCATAAAACTATCACCAAGCTGCTCCACGGCTCCTGCTGCCTGCACTCCTGACATTAGGTCTTGGGAACGTCCAGAGGATGCGCCATCACCTGAAATCAGCCTGAAACTCACCCAGCAGAGAAGCACGAGGCTGGGGGGCCTCCGTCCCTGTTTAATCCATTACAGCGTCCGCTGCAGTTTAGTGCGCAATAAAACACGGGGGCAGTGGAGAGCGGGCGCCCATCCACTCCCCAGCACTAGCATCGAATTAAACCACTTAGTTTGGCAAACACTGAACGCCTAAATGCCCCTATAAAGACTTTATGAGTTTGTTACTTTAATTACTGACTTGTTACAGAGCACATAAAGGGGGTAATGAATGCAATAAAACTAATTATCTACACATTTAATTCATATAAAATATCCAGGGTTTGTTTACACCACCCGGCGATTGAACTAAGCATTCCTCCTCTTGCCTACCGAGAGAAAAGATTTAATGAAATACTTTTCCTTATTCTGCTAGAGCCTAACGAACCAAATGAAAATTACCCTCCGCTTAAATCATGGGGCCACTGAGGTCCACAAATCACCGTTCGCCTCTTTGTCTGTACCTTGCTGCCAGCACCCAAGAGTCTGAGGAGTTGGAGGAGGAAAGTGTTCGATCTGGAGCCTGGGCATTTTGAGAGCAAAGATTTCGCTCACTGCAGTCAACACACCTAAAAGGCAAGCGGACAGCAATCCTCTTTGCGAAGCCCCTGGTCTCTGGTAGATTGAGGGCACCTGCAAAAGTGTAGGTGATAAAAGAGGAGAGTGCCCGGGAGGGATGGAAGAGGAGACACATTTAGGGACATTTCGTGCCCACTTGCCAGTCGTGGTGTAATTAAAATCAACAACCGCACAGAACCTCCAAACCAACAAAATGCAAACCCCAAGCTAATGCAGAAAGACACAGAGCAGACCGCAAAGAAGTCATCGGTAGAGACAATCCAGATGTTTCACATTCAAGAGCTTTACTCAGATGTTGCTTTATTTTTTAAACAGCTGTGTAAGCGGAGTCTCTAGAAAAGCATGTTAAGCTGCGACAAGAAACGCAATTTATAAGATGCTCTTTTTTTTTTTTTAACCCCCTCTACCAGGTGTATTTTAAAGAAATCCGCTTATCCTTCACATAAACCCCCTTGGCCCACTTACTCTACGTTACAGGGCGCCTGAGTCTTGTCAATGTCCCAGTCCTTTATAACATTTCATGCACTTCAGGGGGTAGGCTTGTTGTTAAATTGAGCGTGTAACGCTCTTACAAAACAGGTTTTCTATGACATCAAGGTTTCTTCTCCCTAACCGAGGGGGGAAAAAAAGAGGACGAAGAAGGGGGAAACACACACACTATCTCAATTTATGCCTAAGGTATATGATCAGTTAAAAAGGCTTAAAAGCTCGGGGAAATTGGATCAGGGAGAATCGTCACCCAACTTTCATTATTTCCAAGTAGTGTGATTGAATTAAAGGGCAGGGAGCTGGTTAGAAGGGAGGATCAGGGGCTCAGTGCGTAATGGTGTGGTATTAAATTCTAATTAGAGATGCAGGAATCAATGATAGGGAGGTTGGACAGCTCAGTTCCCCAGTGCCAGCCCAATAGACGGATGAGTTATTGTCATGTAAAAAGCGCCAGCAATAAGACCAACCGCTTTGCTATTGTCCAAGTGGAAAGAGCCAAGTTTATTATGAGGACTATATGCTCTAGAGACCTCAGACAAGGCATCTCATAGGAGGCTTTTTCATAAAACTAGGCTCTGCTGGTAGTAAGGAGGCCAGTTTGGAGGCAGGCGTTGAGCTGTGCACATCTCCCCACTCCAGCCACCTTCTCCATACCCATCTTTTATTTCATTTTTCCACTTGGCTGAGCCATCCAGAGCCTTTTCAATGTATAAAATGGAATATTCTTACCTCAATTCCTCTGCCTACGAGTCCTGTATGGCTGGGATGGACACCTCGAGCCTGGCTTCAGCCTATGCTGACTTCAGTTCCTGCAGCCAGGCCAGTGGCTTCCAGTATAACCCGATAAGGACCACTTTTGGGGCCACGTCCGGCTGCCCGTCCCTCACGCCGGGATCCTGCAGCCTCGGCACCCTCAGGGACCACCAGAGCAGTCCGTACGCCGCAGGTAAGGACCGCCAGCTTTCTCAGCCGAGGAAGCCGCCTTTCCGCTCGTATATAGGAAGCCTTGATTGCATTTGAAAATGGAAATGTGTTTAGTATTTACCAAACGAAATTTGCTTACACAAATGAAAGAATTTATCACGTTAGAAGCGATTGCAGGGAGGGGTAATTCACTTACAGGGTTACACTATCCTAGTCACACCCGAACCGCCAACAAAATTATCTTAAGCTGCCAAAATGATAGGCATAATTTATTTACTTTGCGATGAGACGTAAAGCTTAGAAAATAATTAAATAACAAAGAGTAAAGCTCATTACTGGCAGTCTCTCTCTCTCTCTCTTTTTAAGAACCGACAGCGGCTCACACCTCTTTGGCTGGTCATTTTTATGATTATTTCTTTAATTTATTATTTTTTTTGCAGCACTTTCCCCCCAACTTTTGGGCAGGGTCAACTTCTGAGAATTGAAAAGTTCCAACAGTGGGAGTGTTGGGTAACTTCTTCCCTGGTTCCCTGATATTCCGACTGATGTTTTTGGACTTTTTTCCTCTCTCGTTTTTCCTTATCAAAGCATTATTCCGTGTCCCGGCCCTCGGCCGTCCCCACTGCGCTATTTCAACCCACCCAAAGGCGCCTGTGGCAAGAGGGACCCCGCCACAGCCCGAAGTTCGCCGGTTTCGGTATATAACGAATTTGCTCGGTTTTTCTCGGCCGCTGCTCGCAGTCAGTCGCCCGCGCGGGCGTCGGTGGCCGCTCCAGAGCTACCTGACCTTGGAGTCCCCACATTCCGGCTCCGCGGCGCGCGCGCTCCAGACAGTTTTGCTCACACGCTGTCCCCTCTGTCGTCCCCCAGTTCCTTACAAACTCTTCACCGACCACGGCGGCCTCAACGAGAAGCGCAAGCAGCGGCGCATCCGCACCACTTTCACTAGCGCGCAGCTCAAAGAGCTGGAGAGGGTCTTCGCAGAGACGCACTACCCTGACATCTATACCCGGGAGGAGCTGGCCCTGAAGATCGACCTCACCGAAGCGCGAGTCCAGGTACGCGCGCCCACAAACCGACCCCGCGTCGCCGCACCGGGCCCGGTAGGGTACGGTGGCGGGGACCGGGCGGTGCTCCTGAAGGTTCCGAATACCCGGGTCTCTCAAAGACAAGAAGGGCCCGGGACCCAGGGCTGAGCAGAGAGGCCAAGTTCGGAGGGGCTGTGCGCACGAGGAAGCGTTAGGGTGCGCGCTCTTGTTTATATGTGCACAGGTGCGAAGCCTTTCCCGCCCCACGTAGCCCTGCGGAGACTTTCGGGGTCTTGGGACGTGAATGAGCTAGGCTTTTGCAGGACAGAAAGTGCCTTGTGGGAGGAGTGCAGACTTTGCCCCCGTATTAGACGTGGGCTTTTTGTTTTTGTTTTTCTGCCTCCTAACTCACGTTCTTTTAACTTGGAGCCTTGAGTGTGGGTGCATTTTCCCGGTAACTATGACTTGGAACGCATTTGCAAAGGGGTTGTGACTCCATGGAGGTCATGAAACGCGGCTAACTCTAACCTTTTAGGGAAACAGGTGCACTCACGAGCTGGCCAAGGCGCCTCTCCAGGTGAGCCCCATTGTACGCTGTATCAGGCCCAACGGCCAGGATGCGCGGCGAGCATCAAACCCAAAGACCCCCCCTCCTCCTTCTACCAATTAGCCTTTAACCTTAGACCTGCGGCCTAGCGGGTACGGCGAGGGTGGGGTGGTTCCAGAAATAGACTGAGCAAAGGCCCGCCAAAATAAAGTCTTCCATTTTAGGGCCTTTCTGGGACCTGGGGTCTTTTAACTTCTCCTGCAAGCAACCATTTCGCTGGCTTGCTCCGGTGACCCTAAGAAAGTTTCTGCGAAGACGCAAGGGCAACAAGGGAGGGGGCAGACTTGGTGGCGGGGTTTTAAAACAAGCCGAAACGGAACGTGGCCCGTCCTAATCCACGCTTTGCCTTTCCCTTTCCTTCTTTCTTTCCCTGCTTCACCGCCTCGCCTCTCCTCTCCCGCCAGGTGTGGTTCCAGAACCGCCGCGCCAAGTTCCGCAAGCAGGAGCGCGCGGCCGCGGCCGCCGCGGCCGCGGCCAAAAACGGCTCTTCGGGAAAGAAATCCGACTCGTCCCGGGACGACGAGAGCAAAGAGGCCAAGAGTACCGACCCGGACAGCACTGGGGGCCCCGGCCCCAACCCCAACCCCACTCCCAGCTGCGGGGCGGGCCGCCGCCGCCGCGGCCGCCGCGGCCGCGGCCGCGACAGCAGCTGCCGACCCCTTGAAGGGGTTGTTGGCACTGAACTCTCTCCACTTGGCCCCGAGGATGGTCATCATCTTCGACATCGGGATCTTAGGATTCTTCTTCGCAATCAGGGGCCTGGAAACACAGGAGCAGAAGACGCAGGACCCTCGCGGACGGTCCGGGAACACTGCCGCGTCCCTCGTGGGTAAATCTGCGCGCGCTCGCGCTCCCGGGCCGCGAGGATCCGTCCCGGCAGCAACGACGTCGCTTTAGAGCTAAACAGACACGAGACGTAAGACGGGAACAAACCGCGAAAGACGGGAAAGGAGAAAGACGACGTACACGCGCAGCACGTCAAAGAGGACGAGGCCGAGGCATCGGTAAAAAGGCTTTGAACCTTTTCCAGTTTGTGAGACTCTTCGACGTGCGTTAGCAAGGCCTCGTTTCATCCTCGAGATGAGACCGCGAGTTGCCAGGACTCTGTGTGTTTTTCTAGTGAGTTCCACGGGCCCTGAGGAAGGGTCCCGGCACGTGGAGCCTGACAGGCCAGGCGGGTTCTGCTCCACGGCAGGCGTTAAACTCTCGTGAGGACATGGGTGACCACGGTCCTCAGCAGCGAGGCAGGAGAGACAGGGTACCAATGACAGGTACCGGGTACAGAACACTCGCCGGAGAGGGGGTGGGCACCAGGCCTCGAGCGCACCGCGCTCCCCTCACCCCAGCAAATCCCCACAGGACCCCAGGAGGGACACACCACGACTGCCTACTTTACAGATCGAAAACCGAAGAGCAGAGAAGTAGCGTGCCCAAGACCGTACCAGGCCCGCTGCTCTGTAAAGTGCCTGCTCCCCCAAAAGGCAGCTCTGCCAAGGCCTCCTCTAACCGGGGGGTCCCTGAAGCCCAGGCTCCACAGCCCACAGGGCGAGCGCCGTTGCCACGGGGTCCTAAGCCAGAGACACAGAGGACCTGATAACCGAGCAGAGGAAATCGGGCAACGCCAATGTTCTCTGGGCGTCAGTGGAGAGAGAAGTCACGCAGGGGGAGCTGGAACGGTTGGAGCGGTGAGGGCCACCAGCCCTCGCGGTCTTCCGTCACTGGAGGTTTTGAACCCAGCACTGGAATTATGACCTCCCCCCACCCCCTCCGTGAAGGGCTCCTGACTGGGGTCCTCGGAGCCTCAGGTGTCCAGGAACCCTAAAGTTATGTGCGGATGGGGTGTGTCTGTGCTGTGCGTTTCTCTGGGGAGCAGCATCTGAGCGTTTATCCGGTGCCAGAGGGGTTCACCTGGCCCCCCCAAAGTAAAGTGTCCGTTGGCCAGTCCTACCTCATGAACTGGCTAAAGGCTTTGTAGTTGGTGAGTGTGTGGTAATCCTCCTCGGAGAACACATGCTCCACGTCCTCCAGGCCCCAGGTCAGAAGCAGAGTTGCCGACGACTTCTGTTCCACCTGCTGGGAGAGACCGGGTGTCATGGGGCTTTTGATGGGGGGGGCTTCGGTGAGGCAGATGCTTCTCCAGCCCCCATCCTGGGCTCCCTACATGCCTCCCTCCCTCCCTCCCTCCCTACTAGCTACCCACTGTGCTCTCTGGCGCGACCCCCCCCCCCATAGCTTCTCCACTGAGCACCCCTCCTTGGGGCGCTCCCTCCCTCCCCAGGCCCGTCTTCAACACTGATGTGTCCCCCCCATTCCCTAATTCTACTCACCTTTTGCCCCCCGTCTCCCTCCCCCTTTTTCCGCCGCTTTGTCTTCTTCTCCTTTTTTTCTCTGTGCTTCCGCCTCCGTTTCCGACCTGGTCCAGTTCCATATTCGCTGCCTCCGCTCTCTGACTTCTCCCGGTACTCATCTCGCTCGGAGCCAAATTCCTCCTCACTGTCCTAAGGGAGAGAAATAAAAATAACATTTCTTCAGTCCTACCATGTGCCAGGAACTGTTCTTAGCCCATAACATGTATTACCCCTTTTAATCTTCACAACAATTCTCTGGAGATAGTAACTCATCTATTTTTATCTGCCTTTTTTTTTTTTTTTGCAGATAAGGAAACTGAGGCACGCAGAACTAAACGAACCGCCAAGGAGACACGGGGCTGCTAGGCTCTGACCGCATGCAGTCTGCGCCCAGAGCCTGCTCTCTCAATAGGGCTTACTGCTGCTAAGGCGAGTCACGTGGACAGTGGGGGCTCTTTACTCGGTTGTGGTGACTGAGGTTGGGGTCCTAGATCCAGGAGCTACAGGCCAGCCAGAGGGGGGCGGGGGCGTCAGACCTCCCTGACTGCTGGATGCTCCCCACCCTCCACCCTTGATAATCGGGACCAGAGAAAACGCAGGTGCCTGGGAAGAGGTCTGCTGAGCCTTGCCGTGGAGACAGGAGTCCTTAACACTTACAAGCTTCTTGCGTTTTCGGGGTTTTCCTGGCTTGTTCTCCTTCTGCTTCTTGGGTCCTCGTTTTCTCTTCTTCACACCCAATGCTGAAGGTAGCAGCCGGATGTCATCCTTATCTTTGGAGCAGAGAGCACCAGAGAACCTAAGCCTCTAGGTTCCCCGTCTCTGTGGCCCCTAGACCTCACCCCTCCTCACCTCTTCCCTTCCCACTCTCTAGGAACTCGGGCATTAACTCCTCCAAACCTCGCCTCCCTTCGCTGGGTGCAAACAGAGAGTGTTTCGAGTACTCTGGGACGCTTGGGTTCTGAATGGGAGGTCAGGGGTCAGAAGGGAAGAGCAGCCAAACCACTCCCTCCTCTCCCCTCCTACTAACAAGGGAGCAGGCTCTAGGCCATGGGCTCTGACTGTGGCAGGTCCTTTCAGTCGCCGCCAGGGCTCCTCCTGCCTTCCCCCTCACTTAGCCAGCTGGCATCCTGCCCGGGAACTGGGGAAGCCGTGCCCAGCTGCTGGCCTGGCCTGACCCCAGCACTTGGAGTGGGGAGACAAACTGGCAGCTCCCTAAGCCAGATGCTGAGAAGGGAGAGCCAAAGGTGGACACCTGGGATCTCACACTAACACCCGGGGCCCTCACATCCTTTCTGCCACGAGGGAGGCCTCTATTTATACTTCCTCAGATGATCGCCAGGCCTCTTGTCACCCCAACACAGCCCTGGAGGAAAAGAAGGCCATGCCAGTCATTTTCACATCTTGCCCACAGGACCACAGCGTCTGGCTCGTCCATCACACCCTAACCCTACGGGAGCCGTCTCCACAATTACCTAAACATTCCTCCTCTTCCCAAGTAGCCTGGAACCTTCCCTCAAATCTATTTCCATATCCCTGTTCCCTTTCAGAACTCAGGGGCCCTCCCCTTTCTCCCCTGGTCTCACCCTTCGCCTCCAAATTGAGTCCCATTCATACATAAGCAGCACGGGAGACCCAAACAAAGCTAGCGACAGAGACACACCCAGCGTATGCATTCTCAGACGCACAAGCGTGCACGCATAGTCCTGAGCACAAATCCAGAGGACAGCCCGGACCTGCTTTCAGCAGGGCTAGATCCCTGGCTTTCTCCCCATAGGTCTCTGTCGGGGCCGGGGGCTTCCCTTATCCGTGACCCCCCCACCGCAGATCCAGGGAAGACACGGATGTTACAGACCTGGGGCCCTGCTTGGCCTCCCTCCCTCCCCAGCAGGCACTAGACTAACCAGCCTGACCTGTCCTGCTCGGGCAGAGGAGGAAAGCCTGGGCCTGGCCCAGCCCCTTGCTCTAGGACACACAATCCTTCGGCCCACAACAGCCAAGGGAAAATTAGCCACAATTAACACGGCTTCCACTGCCTCGGGATCCCGGCGTCTCCTTCCTCAGTGCTACCTGTCCTCGGAACGCCAGCATCCTGTGTCCTCTGGTGCAGGAACACCCTCTAGGACGGGGCT